CTCTTTTTTTTTTTTTTTTTCTTCTCTTTTCTCCTCTTTTTTTTTTTTTTTGAGTCAAACGAGCCCATCAGTTTTATCAAGCACTAATTGTTTTGAGTGAACTAAGTCCTGAGTATGGTAATAGCACCCCAATGACTTGAGCACCTTTTCCGCTCTTAAACTGATGTCAGTCAGGCCCGTTTCCGCCAAGCTGGCATCCGAATCTCCCGCACAGAAGCTTCCAATACCCCCAATTGATAGCTGACTTTCCTGAACTCGACGTTCAGAATCTCTTGTTTTATATCAACCTTTGTAGCGCAATGGAACCAGTCGCGATGCATATCCGGATCCCCGAAGAAGCGGCCCTTGGTTTGGTGGTGTCACTTCAGAATTTGTTTAACCAAACACTTCGGACTTCCTATGCCTCTAGAAGAGGCATTAAAAGGGGGCCACTGTTACACTCACATTATTTTGCTAGTGACCGGCCGATCAGCCTCACCAGCACTCAAAGCAAGATTATGGTGTGTCTGTTAAAACACGCCATTCTTAAGTTTGTCTTCTCAATTAACCTTTTCTTCTCTACCCAACATGGCTTGCTTCCCGACCGGTCATATATAATCAATATGTTAATCTTCAAGGATAGTCTCATTGAGGCCAAAGACAATTGCCACATACCTGATGCTATTTTCTTCTAATTTTCTTCGACCGTGTTTCACACGATCCTCTTATGTATAAACTGGAAGCTTATAGCATCCAGGCAGAGGTTCTTCACTGGCTCACATACTTTCTCAGTAACCGAACTTTCAGAGTAAAAACTGGATCTGACTTTCCTTCTCTGTCTTCGATTTCCACTGGAGTTCCTCAAAGATCCATATTTGGTCCACCCTTGTTTTTGGTACATATCAATTATCTTATCAACTGCATTTCTAGCAACGCTGCTATTTACGGTGATGACCTAAAGATCTGGAATGCTTCTGATCCCAGTGCGTTGTAGACTGATCTTGACCCTACTAAGTGGTGGTCGGATGATTGGAGTCTCCCTCTAAATGACAGGTTTGTAAATAAGTTGCTAGAAGGAGAATCCGGAAACCAATTCGCCATACAAAATGCAGAGATTATAGTAAACAGCGCGAAAGTTGACCATAAAAATGACCCAAAGATTTGGCCTTAGTCTGGTTCATTTTTCTCTTATCGTTACCAGATGGCCACCAAAACGAAACTTGGGACTACAAATATGTAGTTTGGCAGATTTATGATTTTAGGTGAAACCCCGTTGTGAGAAATCGGGGCTTCGGCTGGATCCGAACTAGCAACAGAAAAATCATGCCTCAACGCGGTAAGCGCTCTACCAGGTGAGCTACGAAGCCATGCCAAGAGCTCGGAAACTTGACATTTGGACTCGGTTACCCACCTGTCCCACTGTCTTACATGGACTCCACCAAATGAGGATAAACGATATGGTAACATCTCGTTGTACTGAAATAGCAAGAAAAGGAAAATTTGAGAGAAATATGTTCTTCAGGTTTGCGATGAAAGTTTTCTCAGATATGTGTATGAGAAGTTAAACTAGCAAACAATCTGAGATTTCCGTGGCACACAACGATAAGAACGGTTTGAGTCAGACATTATGGTGTATTTCATTATATTTCTGACAGTAGTAATTTGTTGTCGCGGATAAGCAATTGTCCAGATTATTTTTCAACATATCCAATTAATTAAGCATAACAGGACGAACAAACTACTGCGATTTACTTGATAACGCTTTACAACTGAATATCTTATACGCGGTAATGAGTGTTGATTGTTTACGATCTCCGTACCGATCTGTAACGCGTAGCAGATAAGACTACCGTTCATGCTCAAAGTGACAGAACGGTGTCAATGGAACAAACAGTGAATTTCGACTGACTTAACTAATCACACCAAATCGACCCGCCCTTAAATCAAAAGTTGGATATAGCAAGGAAAACAATTGTTTAATTCGATACTAAATAGACTGGTAATAGGCGAAACAACTAAGATACACAGGAATTATGAACTTTGGTGAAAACATTAACCGCACAGGCTGAATACTGTATGGTCTGGAGTAGAAATTGAACGATACGACCAACCCCGTCTAAAGAAATGTTAGGGCCAGACTAAAAACGGGGTCACTATAAGGAATGAACAGTTAAGCATGGACAGTATAACCGTTAAACAGACAAAAAACAAAGTCAAGACGAGTTTAACAAGAAGCAAGCTGTTCACATGGTAAAAGAGCACTACAGTTTGTCGGTAGGAAACGCTGGATGGTCCTAAAGGTGGACAGAGTTTATTGAACCGCCCAAAGTAGTCTTCTTGTAGCCAACAAAAATGTCAATTATGAGGCCAGACGACAATGAACAGAGAGTCGAAGTTCACAAAAGAACTGAAGATGATGTTGAATCTAAGCATGAATCAGATGGGTTAACCTAAATTGCACAACACAGAAGGAATTTCAAGTTGAACATCACCCACAATTGATTGCAGCTTTCGTATTCCCATAGACTTTGCAGTCGGCCACTTTCGAACAACAGGAGCACTAGACTCGAGTTTCGCTCTAATCAGAGCTCGTCAGTAGTGCATATCCTTGCCACTGCCGGGACTAGAACTCCGGCCACGCTGTTCATGAGACAACCGTGTTTATCACTGCGCGACTTACCCCACATTAGGTACGACGATTATTTACAAGCGAAGATAGTTGAGCGTTCACATCAGATCATTCGGCAGTGCCTAATGTGAGGTCAGTGACGCAGTGGTAAACACGGTTTCCTCATGAACAGTGTGGCCGGAATTCTAGTCCCAGCAGTTGTAAAGATATGCACAACTGACGAACTCTAATGAGAGCGAAGCTCGAGTCTAGTGCTTCTTTCCGAAAGGGACCGACTGGAAAGTCTATGGGAATGCGAAGACTGCAATCAATTGTGGGTGATGTTCAACTTGAAATAAACCAAATCCCCGACTACTCATCAGTAACAGAAGGAATTGTTCATCAGTAAAGAGGCTGTAGCCCTGTTTAGCGGAATATAACAAGTAAACAATATTCGGTCAGATGAAGAACGGAATAACTCCGTTACATCAAACTGTGAAGTATTAAGAAAAATGCTGGACCAGTTACAACTTGAACATGAACACTCAGAGATCAGCACATCAACAACCTGCCGTCAGACAAACAGCACATCAAAAAACCGAAATCATGGCAAAAACCAACCACTGCAGACTTCGACAAATCAGCATTGACCCCGAATACCAACACTTCTTTCAAACCTATTTGTTTCACCGTAATGCTTGTCATCTTCCTTTGTAATAGAGGTGTTTCTTGTGTGTCCAATAATACTTCCACCCCACATCTGCATCGTAACCTTTCGACAATGACTGTCGTTTCATCGGACCGTCCACTGATCATTCCTTTGCACCAGCCACCACAAGCAAGTTGGTTGTTTAAAACAAGCACTAGATTCCGAACATTAGATGGATCTGAGGTTTATTTAATTCAGGACAAAACTAAAAAGTGAAAAAATACGCATTTTTCCAAAATTTTAAATATTTTACCTGGTAGTACATAGATCTGAAGCTAGAGGCTCAGGGTTCCCGGGTTCAGTCGGGTTGCCCTAGCCAGTACCTAGCAGGTGTTTGTTAACTTAGATGGAAATGGTTGATAACTGAGTGATACAGTGCTCTTCGGATTATACAAGGTATCAAGAATGGAGCAAAATTACCAGGATAAACATGTTCATCAAGTAACTAGGATCTTATTAACGGTCCAAAACGATTTCTAGATGTGCATTTAATGAGTTCAGAAAGAGGTCTGTTCCAGTGGTTAGTAGCCCTATAAAAAACAATTTTGCATGAAAAAGTTTCGAAGACGGAGCCTGTGAAACGTTTGTGTGTCCTCGTCAGCCGTCACTAGTTGCTGCGATGAAGAACTGTTTTACGAGGTTTACTTTAAGGAATAGATGCATGCGAATTAAATCATTGATATTCATGCGAGTACAGATCAAGAATCACAAGCTGAAATTCACACACGATTTCTCTTAAGCACATGACCTGTTTGGTAGCCGCACACTGGACACGCTCATCAGCGAGTATAACCTACTTCAAGCCGATATACACTACTCGATCAGCATACTCAATTACTGGTCTTATACAAATCCCATAAGTTGTTTGAAACATTTTTCTGCTTGGGTCAGGGAAAGTGTGCTCTTTTGGAGTCATCTAATGAGGAAGTGCAAATGACAGGTTGGATGAAATCAAAATGCCCATATCTTTATTCAAGTCACAACACAAATCACGAAGATCGTCACAGCTTCCAGCGAGTAACTCATGTGCGTGTTTATTTTCACTTAAGTGGAAAATGTAATCGTCCCATAGGCAGTTTATCGCTTCAGGTTGAACGTGCAGTGCATCTGGAACACTAGACCTTCGGATTTTTAAACCGTCAGCTTAGTGGACAGAGTCGTTGGAAATGTCGTCCTGAAGGTCGTTGATACAAACAGGAAATAACAGGTGACCAAACAGAGATGAAAAGTCTAATCCGGTTCCAACTCCAAAAGTTTTACTGTCAAAAATAGAAGCAGTTAAACAGAGAATCTATCCGTGAACGCCACAAGCTTCCAGTTTGTGTCCGAGAGGGTCATATGGGTCAGGGTCGAATACGTTGGCAAAATTGGAGAAAACAGTGTCTGGGATGTGATCGTTGTCTATGGTTTGAGACCATCTGCTAACTACTGTGTTTAAAACCGGGCTCGCGTATAGCGCTGTCTTAATGTGATTTTTTCAGTCAATATTTCTTCACTTGTGTGCAGTACAATTAAATCATATGGACATAGTGCCCTTCAACCTCTCTGGGTAAACACTGATTGATATATGTAGATGGTCACTAGAAATTCTCTCCATCTTAACTAAGTAGATCAATAAGGTGACGTCAGCTTTTACTTTTTCCCCATTGACCTTGCTAAACATACGCCTCACAGAAAGAATCATGAGCTTCTAATTCCTCCTCTATGGCTCTTGTAAGTGGGTTAAAATATCAGACTATCTTACGGCACAATAAAGTGTCTGCGATTATATCCCCTTTCGAACTGACAACTGTTTTTCGTTATTCGGATTCACCACCCACAAATTCCACACCGTTGCCCATTCAAATCTCTTCAAGTGGGCGAAGTTTTCCCGAAAATCTTATTCCGTAACTAAAAAAGCACTCATTAGTTCTATACGGACTGTACGTCTATCTATGCAGGTGAACAAATCCTGATAGTTTACTAGAAAAATTTTCTCTTCAAACAGCTATGGAGCAAACCTAATCCATTCCGACGGACTCAAGGGGATGGAAGCCCGCCTTTATTCGTGATTCGAGTAGAGGTGCCCTCATCTCAACGGATTTAGCCGATCTCATGCGGTAATTCAAACAACCTGATTTTGCATATCTAACTTGTGAGTTAATCTTCAGCATCCGAACTTCTTCCCGGATGACCGCGAGACTGTCTGTTGTTTTTATATGTTCCTCCAGTTTGTGCTGCTACTGTTCTATCGTTTTGGTGACAGAAGTGCAAGTTCGTTCTAGTGTGCAGACTGTTGCACCGGAAACTCATGTAATGAAGTCAACTGTAGTGTCATTCTCGAGCAAGTTCTCATCGAACCAAGTGAGCTTAACTGATATGTGGTTTGGTTGTTAACCATTAAGCATGGGGTTGAACTAGAAAAGTTTTATAAATGCATGATTAAATATCCCACTGATTGGATGACCTACAGCAAATTCGGATTGTGAAGTTCTGGACGTCGATAACTGTGTTTAATATGCGTACGCCTCAATGCTCGTAGTCACTTTACTAGATGTTCCAACTGTATTTAGTCCATTAGTTTTGCTGAGCGACGCTTCTACTGTACTTCTACAAGTCCACTAAACAACAAGCTCAGCTTTACTATTCTATCCACTATATCAGCTATGTCTATGCCAGCAGTAAGCAGACCTTGATGATCATATCAAAGAATCTTTCGGAGACATCGCGTTGCAAGGCCAGTGCAAGAAAGTGAAACGATAAATTAAGGCCTCTGGAAGTTATCAGTTTCGATGCATTTGCCAATCAGCTACAATAAACTAAATTCACCACAATGTCCTCAACAGTTGTAGGTGAATAGCGTGAGCCTAGTCTTATCGGACTGCTTCCAACGAGGCTCTCTCTGATGCCAAATAATTCGTCGCACACGAAAATCTGTGCACCAGGCACTCCCATACATAGTGCCGCTTTTATGGGCTCTGGTCAAATTTTACAAACGTAACGGAGCCCGTAGAGAGAATTCTCAAAGTCCGTATGGTGGTCGGTTTTGATTGTTTCAGTGTTAGTATTAA